TCATTAACCTCACTAACCTCACCGTATTTAGTAAGATACTATTAGAAAAAAGATAACAAGAACAATATTTAGACCAATTTGCTTCTCAATTTTTAAAATTTTAACCCTATAAATGTAAGTAAGATAACCTGCAACCAAATTGTAACAGAAGTGATTTAGCAAGTAAATTTCAGCAATTGCTAAGCCATGAAATGGGGGAATGATTACCCCACAATGAATTCAGAAATTTGAGCTAGTAAATTAAAACGTTAGGCACAAACTATTGTGTTGCGGCAATTAATTGCATTAAACCAATCTACTTTAGTGAGGCCTGCAGAGGTCTAAAATTCAACGGAGAACTAGTATTCTACACCAACAAAGTTGAAACGAATAGGATTTTCTACAAATATAATATGAACAAGACATTAAAATCAATAGGCTTGCTATATTTACAAAGCATGATATTACAAGATTATCAAGTTCTCCAATTAATTAATGCATATAAATAATCATGACAGAAAAAATAACCAAGAATCGGATTTGAAGAAGACACAAGCGGAAATTACGTTAGGAATTCTCTTTAACGCTTCTGAACCCTCCATTTGTACACTACTAACAACGACATTCTATTGCTAGGTAACATAGGGCCTGTCAAACAACCTCAAGAAACTATTTGATATGACCCTCCCACCAATCGAACTCAGAGAAAAATTCAGGAAAAGAAAACCGACTCCGTAGTCAAGAATTCCATTCAAAGCATGCGCACAAAAATAAATTAGTGCATCAAATGACAAAGGCAATGAACACATGTCAAAAACTAAGAGGATAAACAAAAACTAATTGCGCGAGAGAGAAAAGAAGAAAGAGAAGGAGATACCGATAGGAAGAAGACCAGCCTATCTAGCTTGAGAGAGGTCCCGTTGTACGGTATTTTCACGACTGTGCCAACGATTCCAGTTAGTTAGCACCATGAAAAAGCCACGCTCTAGAGAACTGCAAATCCGATTCATCGGATGAAAGGAACATATAATTCTGAGTCGTATAACATTACGCTACAGAATATGAAGAATTGCGATCCATCGTTCGAATCTGACAGAGAGAGTAGTGAGCACGCAAAAGCCTTAGCATACACTTTATACCAAGTGCCTCTGGGTGCTCACTCTCTTCTGTCAAATTCCAAGACCAAGCCACGATGAATCGAAGATAAAAACACTATCAAGAACGATAAACAAATAATTTTCAGTGAAGAATCTTTCACATGTGTAACGAAGACAAAAAAAAAAAACACATAGAAACCGCATAGAGAGACGAGATAGAGATCCAACAGCACGAAGAAGACGAAGGCGAGCCAGATCCAGAGTATCAAACACAACAAAGCAGCTCAAAATTCAAATCAACAACACACCATTTCATGGAGGAACAGACATTTTCTGAAGGTACTGAAAATTATTTAGGGTTTTTGGATTGTGTAGGAAATAAATAAGCGGTTAAAAGAAACAAAAAAACAAAACTCGATTCTCTCTCCTCCATGCAGGACGTCGGTTACAGTGCCGACAACACGTAATCAAAAGCTTCTGAAAGACAAATCAAACAGTGCCGTGACGACGGTGACCGTCGCAACGCTCCACAAAGTAAATAATCCACAAGAAGGACGAAGATCGATACGAACAGACGAACAAAAAGAAACAATAGCAAACAGAAGAACAAAGAAAAAAAAAAATTGATCGATCCAATCCGATCTGATCCACACGATCTCCACTCGCGGGTTTTCTTTATTGCGGAAGAAAGACACGAAGGATCGATATCTTTCAGTACGCAACACAAAAAAAAAAAAAAAATATATATATATATATACATAGAATATTAAAAAAAAAAAAGGAAAAAAAAAAGGAGGAATCGTGTACTTTGCTCACACTGAAACTGTGTAATACTATGACGGTGTTTTGCGTACGTGTCAGGTGATGATTGCGTGGAGATCATTTATCAAGGGTACGTGTAGGAGGAGTATGGAGGACTGCGCCTCGTAATAAATCCTGACCGTACATTTTTAGTGAGGGTAAATTCCCACCGTAGGATCATTAGCACGAGGGTGGGACCACCAGAACGGGCATAATTTGAGTCGGTAAAATTACCATTTTAACTCTCTAAATATAATTTGTATTTATTTAATCTCTCATATCTATTAAATTTCAAATTTTCCAATAATTAAATAAACTCTAAAATATATTTATTTTTTATTATTTATAAAAAAAATTATTATTACGGTAATTATATGATTATGTGATGCATGATGTATGTATGTATGTATACGTATGGTATGGTATGTGGATATTAATATTAAAATGGATGATAAATGGGTCAACTTTACAGCATGAACACCTGGGACCACTTTTTAATAAAATATATTATTGCTATTTCACTAATTATGGGAAATACAATAAAGTTTTTAATGCTATTTTAATGTGCGCCAAACTTTATAATAACTGTTACATTGACATATTTGGTGACCACTGCACCAAAACCCCTCCTATGCACCCCCTATGTTTAAAGCCTCTTGTTTAGCTGAAAGGGACTTTTATTTTATTTATTATTATTTTTTTTTTAAAATTAAGTTTATTTTTTTAAAATATATATTATTCGGGCTACCGAATTGGTTTCAACCCGCTAATCCAAACCTAGGATTACAATAAAACCTTACTCTGTCGTATAGTTTTTAAATTATTTTAAAAATTAAAAATATTTGATATTTATGATCTTTTTTTGTCTGGGAGGATTCCAATTCCAATAAAGGGCCTTCTACTTTCATGAACTATATCAGAATCATTTTCAACGAGTTCATGAGAAGTTATCCATTTTTTTTCATCGGATTTGGATAAATACTAAAGATAGAGAAGTATCGTTAATTTCTTCATGCTCGTTCCAAGTTCTGCATATAATAATAGCAATTGAACCCAACCCAGTTTGAACAAGTTGATTTTGTGTTCGTGTATAATTTTTTCCGGTCCGAACACGATCGAGTATACATCCATACCAAGAAATTTAAAAAAAATAATATAATAAAATAGGATTTATGGGAAAAAAGAGGAGATTTTATGGGAAGGTGAGACCACGCTATAAAAGGTCCATTTTTAGTTATTTATTTATTTATTGGTATTAAATAAAAAAGGCTAATTTTTGTAGGGAAAAGCTCTAAGCTTAGGGTTTCAATGGCTGTGGACCACTCTCTCTATCACTTGTAGCCATCCACTGCTCTTTAACTTCAACTAGCTTTCTTCAAATGAGCCATGGTTTAGAATAAACATGTCGATTTGGTTCGGCCGACTTGCTTTACATGGGATGAAAAATCTCCATTAAAGTCGAGGAGATTAGAGGAGGGAGTAAGTAGAGATTTATCTTTCGTTAGCTAAACTTAGAAAAAAAAAACGAGGACTATATTCCCGCCATCAATCTCCTCTGCCTCGTTAATCCTCGTTCCATTCACAACTATATTTTTATATTGAAATTAGGTTCAAACTCTATATTATATTTTTGCTTATTAAAAAATGAAAATTATCTATTAAGAAAATCTTTGAAATAAATATTTGAATTCGATAGTGAATCTCGGTTTCAATCCTCACAAAAATGAATAGGAAATTTTTACGAATGAGGATTGAAATAGGAGACAGAGACGAGGACAAGAACGATATCCTCGTTCTTGCCTCGCTCTTTGGTCATCTCTAATAAGTTATATATATATATATATCACAGCTATACATCACTTAATAATGTATGGGTCATTGTTCATTAAATCACACATAAATGTTGTTTTTATCTAAATAAGTTTGCATCATTATAAATATTAAATGAACCCTTATAAATGTTATAGAACTCTAATTAGTATTAATTATTAGAACCGAAGGTTAATCGGTTGATCAAGCAAATGGTGTCATATCCATATGAAAGCGTCAGATGATATGATCCAATTGCACAGTAGTTACGTGATAACATAAGTTAGTTTCGATCAAATTTGTATAGAGACCAACCTCTTAATATTAGTGGAGATAAAGGTCATATATTTGCCTTAAAGTTTACCTAACGAAAATTATATATTAAATCTTATAAATCCTATAAATCTTTTTAAATTTACGATAAAATGGGACCACAAGTCAGACGTTGCCAACTCCAAGTTGTTGCGACAATGACCTCCTAGTGCCTGATATGGTTCCTCTTGTGCTATCGGGTTCCTAAACAATCACAACCACCTCATTCGAAACAAAAATTATTGATAAAAATCTTGCATCTAATTAAATTATTATTTCGTCTACCCGTATGATACATATATATATATACATACATACATATATATATATAGAGAGAGAGAGAGAGGAAAGAACATTTCACGAGGAGGTTTTAATTTGAGTGAAACAAAACAAAGACAGTACGTTGAGCTCAGAATTCAGAGCAGCAGCAGCTGCAGAAACATAAACAGATGAAGAAGGCCACAAGAAGACGATGGAAGTGGGGACTGATACACAATAATAATGCCACAAACGGTAAAACAAACAAATTCAACCCTTGAATTCAGTGAGTACCCCACTTTCCCAAAACTGCAAATTCAACAATTTACTACCAAGAGGACTTTTTCCGAGATCAATCAAACCGGATCACCTCGCCTTTCTTGTTATCCAAAAGTCCGTCGAATCGGGTGAGAGATGAATAGAGTCCCAAATAACGAGAGATATCTAAAAAACAGGTCCGTACGCATATTCCTAATCCTACATAGGATGTAAGGACGTACGAATCCATATGTAAACATAGTACCTATTTAAATACACTCGATGACCCCTTCTCATAATTAGAATGTAACGCCCGCCCTAACCAAATTCTCTTTCGACAACCTTTTTGATATGAGAAGCCTGATCACCTTCCTCCTATTCCTTATGTCTAGTAGCGGGATTCAAAAAAGAACAAACGGTCCCGTGAAAAGAAGCCTATAATAATCCATAATCCATAAACAAAGAAGAAAGTAATGCAAAGTTTGATGGGGGCTATACACATCTAAATTTAGGAGCCAAATGACTCCATAAGATTAAGCTTTCCAGAACCATTAATCAGAATATAGCAGCAGATGTTGGGTTAACAACAATTACTCTGAAAAATCACCGAGGGAGTTAAAAAAAGAAGGCCTAAAAAGGGCCTTTGTTCTCAATCTGTGGCCTTTCTCCTCTTCTCTAATAAGCCAAGCCAATCTTTTGTTTTCAGAGAAAGCCTAGTAGTAGTACACATTATCTAACACTTCAACATCCTCTCTCTTCTACTATTACCTTTACCTTTTACCTTACCTCCCTCCCACAGATGACATGAATTGAGGCAAACAACTACAGAGGCAACTAGCTAGCATACTCCTATAATCGCGCCTAACCTAACCTAACGACTATATGACAGACAATTTGGAAAATATGCCAATGAGATAACAAGATCCAGAGCAAGCTTCCCAAAGAACTCATTCTAGAATTTGCAAATATGTAGTGCTGAACAAAGGCAAGAATAGACAACTCCGAGCTTTTCAGGAATAGGCGTGTGGTGATTAACCTTTTGGCTCTCTTCTTCGTTTCTTCCCTGACTTGGATTCACTGCCTTGATCGTTGGATGAATTTAGCGACTTCCCCTTTGAGTTCTCTGTTGCTTTTCCGGAAACGGGTGAGTTCTTCAAATCCCCACTTTCTTTTGATTTTGAAGATGTGGACTTGACCTTGCTGGAGAGATTAGAGTTATTTGTTTTGTCGCCTGTTTTGGGTGATTTTCCCTTCGAAATTGCAGGAGTTTTTGGAGTTTCTTGTTTGGACTTCCCAGTCTTCAATACATCTTGCTTGGACTTCGCAGAAGCCGCTGCAGCAGGTGTGGACGTCTCGTCATCCTTCAATTTACCAGTCTTGTGTGATTCAGCATCATCATTCCTCGACTTGCCAGCAATTTTCGGACCTGTGCTACCAGCCTTGCTACCAGTTTTAGGAGTGGTTTGATCTTTGGATTTGCTAGCTGTAGAACCCGGAGGTCTTCCAACCCGAGGGGTATTCTCTTTCGACTTGCCCTCAACTTTGCTGCCACTACTCCGATCAGTTTTTGTAGTTGCACCCTTGGATTTGCTTGAGGAAGTTACTCCACCCCTAGAATTGAGTCTTAACGATTAAAAATCAAGAACCATTATTGAGAGAGCGAACAGTTGTGAAATGAACTAACTTTTTGGGCGAACCGTCCATCTTTCCTCGTGTCGCAGACTTATTGGCATTTATTTTTGCCTTTTTCTTTTGAGGTCTGTAACAACAATCAAAAGAATCCACATAAACCAATAACAAATGCCAACCAACAATATCATGATCATATATTGACAAAATTCAGTAAAAACAGTAGCACGAGTACGAGCATCATAGCTTCTCTGAAGATAGAAAGAATCAAGTGCTGAATTGATTATAAAGATATTTCCCACGATATAAATCTAAACCATCAGAGATTAAGAACTTATCTAAGTTAATATCAGATTAAAGAAACTAGTTAACACTGAAAGCTATACAGGCTAAAAAGGAATGCCTCTCACAACTGGTATGCTTACAGCCTTTCCAACTAAAACAATTTGACATGGCGCTAGTGAAAGGGGGAACTTGATTTAAAGATGCTAAGGTCCTAGAGAACCTATTTCACATTTTCGACAGAGCTCGTGACTACTTATAAGATAAGCAAAATACCAATTACCACAAACTAGTATGCTGGTCAACGTAAAAGATGGCCATTTGCACACATGCATTGATGTTATCTTCATACGAAAGTTCGTTTCAACAAAGGAAAACCACAAATATACCGTATGTGAGGACTAATATTGAAACCTAAATGAGTGGGTTACGATTATCTTCGCAGCTCCCTTTTTCGTTCATAAAATGTAAATTTAGAATGTTAAACTGAAATCAGCAAATATTGAAAAGTTGAATGTACATACGTCTCGGCTGCAGATTCTAATCTCACTAAATCTTCTGTTTGCTCCTGTTATCATATGATAAAGAAAACATTAAAGCTAGAGGATCTCAGACGACAAGCAAAATACAATTTACACAGCAACCTACCTGTTCAGATTCAGAGTCATCATCAATAAATTCCCATCTCTCTTTTTTGAGATTTAGTATTTCTTGGTCTCCATCCATGTACAAAACCTGCATAGAATGAACCTCGTAAAATATCATAAACCAATGAATATATATAGCTATGTGCATATATATACATACATAGAAGCATATGTATATGTAACACATACATATGCACTAAAATGCATACATGCCATAGTAACAAAAAACATCAGATTCCATAAATGATATCTTACCTTGTGCTTCCTTTTTTCAGGATCAAAAGAATCAATAACACCTTCATAAAACCTGAAGCCGATGGAATATGACACACAACAAATGACCAAAAATTAAACATAATAATTGTTTTATCATGGACAAATGAAGATATATTAACAGAACCAACTTTCATCGAGATAAAAATGAAAAAATACAAAGTCAACAAGCCAGGAAAACATAAATGGCATTAAAAAACAGCCCTCAAAGAACCCAAACAAAGCTAAGAAAGGGACCAATCCAACGGGCCAAACCATGCAAACAATTAAAAGAATCCTTGAACAGACACCTGAAGCGATGCATTAAACCTAGCTAAGAACCAAACCTCTTCCCAGGACCTCCGATCCTCCTGAAGATCCTATCATTCCTCTCCACTACATACCCCAAATACCTGCATACCAAACTTGAACTGAAAAAGACATAACCAATAAAGAAACAGCAGAAGATACTGATTTCACCCTCAAAGAAGATACACAGTAACTCCTAGGGAACTCTGGCCCACCCAACAACCCTCCCAAATATAGGTATTTGAGCCATCCACAACCCAACACTACACAGGTGTAGAGAAGGAAGGAAAACCTAAAGCAATTGCTAACCAAGGATTTTTAGATGTGCCTTTTGACCCACCCACAGTCTCTGTAACGGCCCAGACCACCACCGCTAGCAGATATTATTCTCTTTGGGCTTTCCCTTTCGTGCTTTAAAACGGTCTGCTAGGGAAAGGTTTCCACACCCTTATAAAGGGTGTTTTGTTCTACTCTCCAACCAATGTGGGATATCACAATCCACCCCCTTCAGGGCCCAGCGTCCTCGCTGGCACTCGTTCTTTTCTCCAATCGATGTTGGACCCCCACCAAATCCACCCCCCTTCGGGGCCCAGCGTCCTTACTAACACACCGCCTCGTGTCTACCCCCCTTCGAGGAACAACCTCCTCGCTGGTACATCGCCCAGTGCCTGGCTCTGATACCAACTGTAACGCCCCTAATTTTCTTAACCTAATTAGTGACGTCACCCATACATGCATAAATCTTTAAGCGGAAATTCATCATAAATAGCTTTGGAAACAACACCAGTCTTACATAAAGGTTCAAAATCCGAACTAAACATAACTCCGAAACGAAAACATTCAATAACTGAATCCTGAAAATTTTAGATAAAATAAATATTCAACGATCTAACTTAAAACCCAAATAAAAACATAAACTACTAGCTATGTCATCTCATTAACTTCCATGGTAACCTTAGATCCATCGTCAGCCGTACATTGGTGCCTTGCCTTTGATGAAAAATAGGGCTGACAATGTCTTGCCATTTTTCAGGTAAAGGCAAGGCACTAATGTACGGCTGATGGCATAGCTAGTAGCTTATGTTTTTATTTGGGTTTTAAGTTAGATCGTTGAATATTTATTTTATCTAAATTTTTCAGGATTAAGTTATTGAATGTTTTCGTTTCGGAGTTATGTTTAGTTCGAATTTTGAACCTTTATGTAAGACTGATGTTGGTTCCAAAGCTATTTATGATGAATTTCCGCTTAAAGATTTATGCATGTATGGGTGACGTCACTAATTAGGTTAAGAAAATTAGGGGCGTTACAGTTGGTATCAGAGCCAGGCACTAGGTGATGTGCCAGCGAGGAGGTTGTTCCTCGAAGGAGGGTAGACACGAGGCGGTGTGCCAGTAAGAACGCTGGGCCCCAAAGGCGGGTGGATTTGGTAGGGGTCCCACATTGATTGGAGAAAAGAACGAGTGCCAGCAAGGACGTTGGGCCCTGAAGGAGGGTGGATTGAGATATTTCACATTGGTTAAAGAGGAGAACGAAACACCCCTTATAAGGGTGTGGAAACTTTTCCCTAGCAGACGCGTTTTAAAGCTTTAAGGGGAAGCCCAAAAGAGAAAGCCCAAAGAGGAATCAATATTTGCTAGCGATGGGCTTGGGTCGTAACAGAGGTTGTGGGTCAAAAGGCACATCTAAAAATCCTTTTGCTTTAGGGGCATTACAGCCTCCCTCCTTTCGAGAAATCCAAGAAGGAAACAGACCAAGGGTTGTGGCTTACAGGAAGCTCAAGGTAAGAATAAGGAAGAGAAACCACCTCACAATCAAAGAGTTCAACTTAGACGACTCACAATTAATGCCCATGACCACACTCACCTTTTAATCTTAAGACCCAAAATAAGCTCAGATATGTAAAGAATGTATTAAGGTTAACCAACAAATCCTCCATTCCATAACAAAAGAAAACGGTACCATCAGCGAACTAGAGATGTGTCAGGTGAAAATGGCACTTGAAAATTTTCCCTTCCCACTTGAACCCTGAACCCCTCTTTCCACACCAGCGGCAACTAATCTACTAAGAATATCTACCACTAGGAACAAGAGAAAGGAAGAAGGAGATCTGCCTTCCGAAGTCCTCTAGAAGCCTCTACCTTACCTATCAGTTTGTTGTTGATAAGGAAGGAATATTTCCTAATCCAAAGACAACTCCAAGTCAAAAATCTCTGCCTAAGAACCTCATCCAACAAATTTCAATCCACATACTCGGAAGTTTTTTCAAATCCAATTTTAAATCTAAGTTCTAGCCTTGAATATGACACCAATTAAATGAGGTACCAATCCGCAAAAATATTAGAAAAGTATACTTCTGCATATAGCACATGCATTTTACAATTTGTTTATAATACGATATCAACCATACATCAAAGATACCTAAAATAATTCAGAGACCATTGGTACTTACATCCGATCTTTTGGCCACCACACTTTTATCTTTGAACCAACCAAAGTTTCATCAAAATCCTTGGTTTCAGACTCCTGAAAATAACAGCAAGTAAAGATGAGATTTAAGCTTTCAACAACAAAGAAAAGTGCAATGGGCCAATCAAGGATATGTTGCTTTAAGGTCGTAGACAAAAATGAGGCAGTAATATTGAAGTCAGGAATAGTCCTTTTTTCTAAACAAGAAACAAAAAATTTCCATTCATAGAATAAAAGAAGAGGGAGAGAGAGAGGAAGAACAAAAAGAAAAAACATCCCAGAAAACTCTTAAAAACTGAGAAGAAAAAACCCAAAGAGGATGCCGGAGAAACAAACTCAAAACAAACAAGCCCAACGAGAAACTTGCTTGTCGGAAGTTCAAATATCCATTACTTCTTTGCTTTTATGGATTTTTGCTTATTTGTTTGTGTATCTTTTAAGTTTCATATGCTCGCAACAAAAATAAATTGGACAAATCAGATGATATGTCTATAAGAAGCAAGCAAGCATTTTAATATCCATATCCTAAAAAAAAAAAAAAAATGTTTGACAAATGCACAAACAAACACAGTAGAAACCAACGAACTATTAACCTGACATCTAATCAGGAAAAGACAAAGGAATCGGTAATTATTTAATGAAATTAAACTTACACACGTTGAATTATATGACACTAACTATGATGCATTGATGGCAATTAAATAAAGAGCAACTTTTACTTGAGGGGAGAGAACAATATCCATGTGCACACCTAAATACAATCATCGCAACATTAATGTGTTAAATTTTTTCTCCAAGCAGTGAAAAGTTTTCATCCATAATGACATGGAACTAATAAACTCTATGCGGTAGAACATACTTTTTCTTTACTAGGAGTTCGCTTCCTCTTGGAGGCTGGTGTTGTGGTCTTGTTCAAGATCTTCTCATCTTTGGTAGTTTTTGAGGTTGGTTTCAGCACAGGTGTTGTTTCCTAGAAGAATAACCACAATTCAACCAAACAATTATTAACGCATCAGTTGGGATAAGATTTTACCACGAAGCCAAACAAAGAACTAACACTGCTCTAACCACCTTTTTATCATCATCGCCTGACGACTTTTTCAAGGTTTTTCCGGAAATAGTTTTCCCAGATCCCTTCTTTCTCTTAGCCTCCGATTGTTTTAAAGATCCACCACCACTCTTACTGGCTCCATCTCCCTTCCTAGCAGACTGCTTCAAAGACTTAGCCTCAGAATCACTGGTAGTGTCACTTTCCCTTTCTGCTACATCTTCATCTGCAGTCTTAGAATCATCAGAAACCCCAGCAGGAGCCTTATCTTCAGCAAGCTTTGCTCCTGAGTCATTTATTTCGTCAGATGATTTTTTTGAAACTTGTGCAATCGAAGCCACCTCTTTAGCTGAGTTGACTTTCTTCTTTGCCTGAGCAGCCTTCTTTCCTTGTCCAGACTTATTATTACACTCATCAGGAACGCTTCCACTAAGTGAAGGTGTAGTAACATTGGCAGATTCAATCTCCATAGCCTTGGGTGAAGATGGCTTGGCATCAGCCTCAATTTCTGAAGGCAAATTTTCAGCAGACCGGTTCCCACGAGGAGAACCAGGATGTTCACTATGGCTTTCATGTTCTGGCTGACTCTGAGATCCCTTCTGGGCATCAACATGAGGAACTTCAGTAGGTTTTGGATTAGGTTTTCTACCTCTTTTCTTAGGGATCTTTTCAGATCTTTCCTTCACATTACTAGCCTTCTCAGAGCCCAACTTAGCAGGTTCAGAACTTTTGGGTGATTTCACCTCTTTGCACTCATGACCACCATGTTCTTCTTTCTTGTTCTCCAAATTAGGGACAGAGCCATCTTCACCCCCCTGTGCAACTCCATTGCTCTTAACTGAGTCACGATGTTTCTCGATGGCTGTATCAACTCTCTCAGGTGTGGCCACTTCTGTGAGTTTGTCTTCAACCTATAGATATCATATCATTTAACTCAGTATCAATTAAACAAAGGTAACCTAACTACTTTCTACATATCAACCTAACATGTTATATTTTGCATACATTACTTACATAAGAATATATGGAGCTTCCTGTTCTAAGAAGGGAAGAAATACTTCTAAAACAAAATCAGGAAAGAATACAGCATTAAGAATCATTTACCTCTTCCCCAGACGTTCCAACTGACTTGCTCTCAGGAACCTGCACAAAGTTACAACAGAAAACAAAACGCAAAAACCATTACAAAAAATTCACTTTGGTCAATGTTAAGTATCTTGTATGCTGACCAATTGGGAGTTAAATGTTATTTCAACACACAGAATCTCATGTTATAAAACCCCAACCTCTGTAGTACGGAAACTCATGGTAAATTCAATATCAGAATCACATATCACATAAATCTAAACGTGGGAATCAAACATTGTATTCATGGAAGATTTACAGGAAATAACCATTGACACAGATTCAAGTCATTCATCTGCCTGCCAATAAACAGAGAGATGAGGCCTATGGAGCTTCATTTTTAAGATACCAAGAGATAACCGATATAAAATCCCGTTTGTACAACACTCAACGTTAGGGTGTGGGAAAATGGGATGGACATTTAGCAAGACTTGATGGAACCCCAACCTTAAGAAAGAATAAGTTGTCAAGACTACTAAACTAAACATTATTTAAGAACATACCGTGTTGTCATCAGCATCACGAAGATTACTTGGCTCAAGAGAGCAAGAAATATCTTTGCATATGGAAGCAACCACATCACTATAATCATCAAAAGAAATTCCCAAGGTTTTTACAGCTTGAACCAAATAAGGTTTGAGCTTAGTAGAACAGTTATCAAGAACTCTCTCCCCTAACTTCCGAGCAATGGGTAGAATTTCCTGAAAATAGTATTATAAGATTAAAGAGAATCAAAATGTGAAAATAATAATACTTAAAAAAAACGAAGGAAAAAAATAGGAAAGGGAACAAATAACAACTCAAAGCATATTACCTCATTGTCCTTCTTCACGCTATCTAAGATAGGAGAGAGGAGCTCTACAGATATATCTTCACTTTCTTCTAAAACAAGGCTCATAATTGTCTCCATTGACGAAAATACATTCTCTGGGTGATCATCTCTGGATGAAGAATACTATTAATAAACTTAACAACATATGGACATAAAAATTCCTAACATTAGAACTTCCAACACAAGAAAATAAAACCTGCTATGTTCTCGCAATAGGAACAAGAACAAAAAGGAAAAACAACAAATGTTCAGCTTAGGCCCCATTTGATAACCATTTGGGAATTTAATTTTGGATTTTGAAAATTGATTTTCTCATTGATTCTCTACCATGAGTTTCAACATTTTTAAGAGAACATTCCAATTTTAGTCAAATTCCAAAACCAAAAACAAACTTTTTGAAAACTATTTTTTTAACTTCCGGATTTTATTTGATATATGTAAAAAGTAGATAACATAACAAGGAAACCTAAAAGTGGAAGTAGTATTTCTAGGCTTAATTTTCAACAACCAAAAATAAAAAACCAAATGATTATCAAACAGGGGGAAAAAAAAGCAAACTATTAGAAGTAAAATGATAGACCTAAATAGAATAGATGGAAGGCCAAAAATATCACAGACAAAACCCAAATGAAATAGTATTTGAACACAATATAAATAAGAACAAATTACAAAGAGATTCTTTGGTGGTCTGTTTAGTTAGACATTAAAGCCAAGCATTGTTAAGTGTCAGAAATTTGCTTTTGTAAATCTTTTACTTACCATTATTAATATCAAATCACATCAACTTTTACTCTGCAAACACCAGGGAAGAGTTACTTGTTACTGCAGTCATCTTAACTTCAAATTATCAGCAACTTACTAAAATAATTGGCACAGCAAGCAATATGCCAAGGTATCAGCAAAAGTTATGAACTTATGCTTAACCTTCTATAAGATTTACGTTCATTATGCCAGCAGCTCAATTCCAATAACAACTATAGGCAAAATATTACAAAATAATATTCATTCAACAATTACATGAATGTATTTTAATGCAGCCAAGCATCTAGAGTAAAGAACAAACCAAGGAGCTCCATTTGATTCAAAAGAGTGTTGAAAATACAATGGACCTTCCCCTTATTTATAGAAGTTGCCTTCCGACCAACCCAAATAAACCCAAAAGCAGACTAACAAAGCAATAAATAACCAATAAACTGAAAGTATAAAACTTATTACAATGCTATCCTAATAACCCACCATATAAATTACCTCCCACTTCAGGAAATTGTTCTTGAGCTTAAGATGTGACAAGAGGAGATAGGAATCAAGGAACTCAGAAAGCTAAATTTTCACTAATTCCTCTGAGTTAAAAATACCCTGTTGTTGTAAGTGCACCACGTATATGAGGTTGTAGGATTTTTCCATGGAGAAACCAATCCGTAAAGTAGAGTTTTTAAGCTTGTGGGACATTGAAAAAAATAAAAACCTCGGTTTGAAAGCCAATACGATTATCAGAAGAACCATAGAACATCCTTCTTTCCTTAAGTAAACTTTGTTCACAAACTCACTCAACATTGACTCGTCATGGTTGAAAAATCACATCTAAATAAAACTCATGGGGAACTCTCCATAAACAGCGATTACTTATGGTCATCTTCACCAACATATTCATCAAATGCAAGAATGAATTCCTCCTCTGACCAGATCTGAGAGGTTTCTTGTGAATTAAACAATATATGCAGTACATTGCAGTCCAGCAAATGATGCACAGAAAATAAACTTCTTGTCTTCCTATTCCTTCACAGTATCATCTTCAATTAAATTATCTTTAAAATCTGATAATTATGAGGGCTTCATTCAATCATGGGTTTGTGTCTGCCAGATTTTGCAGGAAAATTGGTTTCTTAACATACACTTGCAAACCCACATGTATCTGAATCAAATGAGCGGCCATGGTTTTCTGCAATTGATCTTGCCCCAAATTCTTAATAATCAAGTTTTTTGTGAAGCTTGAAAGTCTTCTCTGTGCTATTTTATTGGGCCTCACGCATTTAAAATCCACAATCAATTTCTTGATTCACATACTGAGAAACAATTCTATATCTTCTTCTTTTTTCTTTTTTTAAGTAAGAAACCAAATTTTCAGTTATTAAAGAATAGAAGGGCATGCCAAAAACAAGCCTGAACAAAAGGAGCACAAAACAAATTGCAAGAATGAATTTCTCCTCTGACCAAATCTGGGAGTTTTCTTGTGAATTAGGCACTATATGCAGTAAATTGCAGCTCCAGCAGTGATGCACATAAAATAAACGACTTGTCTTCCCATTACTTCACAGTATCATCTTCGATTAAATTATCTTTAAAATCAGTAAATTATGAGGGCTTCATACAATCATGGGTTTGTGTCTGCCAGATTTAGCAGCAAAATTGGTTTCTTAACATACACTTGCAAACCCACATGTATTTGAATCAAATGAGTGACCATGGCTTTCTGCAATTGATCTTGCCTCAAATTCTTAGTAATCAAGTTTTTTGTGAAGCTTGAAAGTCTTCTATGTGCTATTTTATTGGGCCTCACGCAATTAAGATCCACAATCAATTTATTGATTAACATACTGAGAAACAAGTCTAATCTTCTTCTTCTTCTTCTTCTTCTCTCTTTTTTGGGTAAGAAACCAAATTTTCAGTTATGAAAGAACAGAAAGGCATGCCAAAAACAAGCCTGGACAAAAGGAGAACAAAACAAATTGCAAAAAGGGCCTCCAATCGGAAAAAAAGGACTGAGATCATAGTTACAAAATGGTTTGGCAACCAAGGCCCAATGAGGAGCCTTGAACCTAGCCACCTCTCGCACCTCCTCACCCAATGTCTCAACCTATCTAAAAATTCTATGGTTCAATTCCAACCAAATACCCCACAAACAAACTTGCAGAAGCGAAGCTAGCTTGCCAGGAGACTATTTTGCTGTTTTTTATTCATGTTCTCTGGTAAAAGTCAACTTCTTATTAAGTGCAGAGTCTAGTAGCATTTAATGGAGGAATAAATTCTCTTTGTTCAAGAAATAACTTAACTTGTTTGAAATCGAATATCTATCACAATTGGGATCATTATAAGTGAAAATTTAAAAGGAAAATGATTTAAAAAAATAAAATCTAGTATGATACCTTACTGTCTTAAGGAAATGTTGGAACATCTCAATGATCAATCCATCACATTCCAAATCCAGCATGACCACACACGATCTGACCTTTGCTACGGTTTCAAGTATGGATGCCCTCTTTGCATATGATCGACTAGACTTGTCAGAGAGATTTTCAAAGGACGATACTATAAGATGAAATACCTCCTGAACAGAAGCAAATAACAACTCTTTAGAAATAAATTTGATAAGTAGGAAATTGACATTGTATCCACTTAAAGACCAAATTTCTAAATTCTAATTACCTTCATTTGCTCATCATTGTAAGGGGCATCAGGTGCAGTGATCCTAGTTATTTCACTAATGCATGCAGCAACTGCAACTTTGACATCAATATCCGAATGCCTTAGAAGCTGATCAGAAACCAGTGCTTTCAGTGATGGAGCGAGTGCACTTTGCATTGATTTTGAAGGGGATTGTTCAACCCTTGCCAGAAAACTCTCAATTTTCTGCAATCACGCAGGTTATTGTGAAGGGAAAAAAACATGCAAGCGCTACCTATCATGACCACAAAAATTAAAATCAACATAGACAAAACTTTTAAATACCAAGGACCTAGAAGGCCTATTAAGCAGCTCATGTTTCATTATATTTCTTCACAACAGCAGCAAGGATAGAGAAGCGAGAGAGTGATAAAATTAGCAGAAGAAAAAGAATACGGTCAAAAAATCCCTCATTAGTCATTTCTAATGTATGGTTCAACGAATCAACATCAGAAGAAGATTTAAAAGTCAAAGTTTCTACACTTAGGAGATTCTGAACAGCCTGACTGGCTTTAAAAGCATGAACCCTCATTAAGTTAGGACCCCTTATCTACATTCCTGGAAGTCTTGAAAAAGATATATAATCTTGATAAATTCCCTCCATAACAGTTTTCAAACATTTCCCTTACCTCCCAGACCACCAAAACTGATGCTCTTACTACTGCCAGCTGCCAGAGAAGTTAGAAAATGTCCCCCAACCCAATAGTATTCCAGTAAACTTTAATAGAAGTGCTTCAACATACGTTCTAGTAATGCTTCAAATCAAAAGCCGCTGATGTATTAAAAAACAGAGAACCAATTCAACCAATTTCATTTGTGCGAACAAAGAGACTTTAGGTTAGAAAAATCTCATGAAAGGTGTGGCTTCCAATTTAATTGTCTCGAATGGAAAATAGTAACAATAATCACTACACGATTAGCAAACAATGTAGAAACCATGACTGGGAATACTAACCTAAATGAGCTTTGAGCAACATGTAAACCCTCTTCCACAAACTAGCACCATATGAGCAACACAACAAATTTCAATTACAATTTCCTTGCTTAATTTACATCACTGCCCCCACCCACCAAAAAGAAAAAAAAACAAAGAACACTGCAAAGCTCAAATTTGAAGACCAGCTGCACGACTGATTCATTTCTACAATTTCATTCAAAGTGGCGTTTATAACGAGAGAAGCCATTATCGTAAGCGCGCCCCTCGAATGTGGTAAAAAGTCAGGAACTTGCAATAAATTAAATATACAAAAAAACGACTGAGCACGATAAATTGTAAAGGGAAAACCAATCGAGCGTCAAATATCACCGTAAAGGGTAGAACGAAAGAAAATTCGAAGACAGCATTCACCCAGGTCGAAAAAAACAAATTGATTGAAGAAAATTCCGAAATTAATAAACAAAATAACCCGGCGAAAGAAGAAAAAGGGGAAGGGCTTACATCGAGAAGCGGTAGAAGTTGTTCAACGGAAGTAGGAGGGTCAACAATCTTATTGCCAGCTTCCAAAAGTTGTTCTTCGACATCCTTGTCGGAAGACGCCATGTTTGCTCGGTTTGTAGCTAAAGCTCCCAGATCCTTGGAAACGCGGAAGGGTTCAGTTCAATTGAAGTCCATGGAAGTAAAGGAACCCACCGAATCGAATGGAAATGGGGCCAAATCACATAGAAAAGCGAGGGAAACTTGAAAGAGAAGAACGGGGAGAGAAGAGGAGCTAGGGTTTTCTTTCTCGGATACACACACAGAGGGAAAAATATCAGAGTTTCGAAATATTTTGTTTACATTTTTTATTTATTTTTTATTTTTTATTATAAATTAATTAATTTAAATAAATAAATAAACCCTTCTCTTCTCCACTATCGACGCTTCACGCTCTCTGACTTAATTTAATATTAGTATTTAAATTTTGAATTCCCAATTTAAAATAAATATATATATTATTTTTAATTTTAATCTTATTATTTAAATGTCGATAATTGTAGTCATTTAAAATTATCCACTATTTACTAAATTTTAAAAATATATATTAAAATAATGACAGTTTTTTCTGTAGCTCTCATTTAATTTTAATTTGACTTTGAATTTAATTTATTTTAAGGATATTAAAATTGATGAATTTTATTTTATAATTTCCGCAAGGGAAGAGAAAATATATATTTTTTATTATTATATAATAATAAAAATGAGTGGTATTCGTACTTGCAAAGTGTTGTTGAGGATGTGACAAAATTTTTAAGTGTAATTTTCAATTTATGGTTATAAATGTTTGAGAATAAAATAAATGGGTGGCCAATAAATATTCAACTGTTTGACCTTTTTATATTTTGTTTTTATTAATATCAAATAAATTGCATTAACCATGTATTGATATAATTGATATTTATTAATTAAAAAAAAGTTGTATCTAATATTTGTCTCGTTGTGATTTTTCAAGTTCTGATAAATTTTAAGGAAGCGTGTTTGGTCTGAGTTATAGAGTTAATGAAACTACAGTTTTTTTTTTGTGGGTTGTTTTTTTTTAATATTTAAAAAAATTGTCAAATTTTTAAGACTAGTGACGAAGCATAATAGATTTTTTATATTCATAAAGTTTCCCGTTTATTTTTATGGAGGAAAGATTAAGAGTGTACACGGGTTGAGTTGAGTTGGAAAAATCTTTTAGATCAACTTGAAATTTTGGATTGGGAATGTTAGTAACCTAGCCACCGAAAAATAGTTTCACAACCCGGTAATTTAATTGATTTTTTTTTTTTTAAGTTTAAGTTTAAGGATATTTTTATAACAAATAGGAATAAAATTTAGTATTTCAATTATTAAAAGGAAATTAAACCTTTTCAAAATCCACGTGGACATCTACCTAAAGTTGAGCATTTTATTTCATCTTAATTGAATTTAAAATTTTTAGAGTTAAAAATAAAATATATATATATATATATAATATTTAAAGAAATCTCGTAGAGACCTCTAATAAAGTTATTTTAATAATATACATAATTATTAAATGGAAATATATCTTATTTTTCTATTAAAAAAAAAGCTGGCGGGAACGAGATAATATTTGTTGTATTTTATAAATTAAAATATATAGTTTTTTAAAAATAATCCAGAAATTAACTTTTTGCCAATTATTTCGATTTTAAAAACAAATAATATTGACATTTATTTCACTTTACACGGCATAAATATTATATTTATTAATTTATTTTACACTTCGTTCCGAGAAACTAGGAGTAGGCTCTCCTCAAATTACTTGCATACCCTTCAAAGTGGTAATGATGATGCACCTAGAAGCAAATTTTAATAAATAAATAAACAAAATTTATATTTTTTATAATAAATAATTTCAAATGTATGTTTGACGGAAAAGTATAGACTTGTAGAACGAGAGCAATCTTGAATATAAGATAGCTAAAAAATGCTTAATTCTAAAGTTAAGCGTGTTTTGTTTTGAGAAACTCTATACTGAACGATCTCTGACAAAAATCTTTAATACGTGTGATTGAAAACAAAACATGTTGAAAAGACTTTATTTTGTCGTACATAAATGCTATAGATCACTTTTGTCGGGCTGATCTTGAACATCCTAAAATCACGTTCAAACAAAATCTTTTCGTTCTACAAAGTCTTTGTACCGTGTTTAACAATTCGAACAGTAAGTTGAAAAAATTATTCACATTGGTTGGTGAGGCATCAAAATCAGAAAGAAAAACTTCATTGTTCTTGGATGCCGAATATGAGAAGAAATGACGAAAAGCAATGCAGGTGCTTGAAAAGGAGCCCTTTGGTTCTCCAATGATACACATCCCATCTAGGATACTGTGCCCTTTCTAAAGCCAGCCACAATAATACCCCCATTAATCTCCGAGGATTAGCCATTTCTAAATAAATCAAACTCATCTATAGATTTCATTTATTCCGAGTCGACACGTTTTAAAATTGTGAGACTGACGATGATACATAACAGGCTAAAACGGACAATATTTGCTAGTATTGAACTTGAACTGTTAGAAATGGTATCAAAGCTAATTACGAGACGGTGCAGTACCGACCAGAGTAGTGCTAGACTCTCTCTATAATATTCGTGTTTTAAAATCGTGAGGCTAAAGACAAAACGTAATTGACCAAAACGGACAATATCGACTAACGTTGGGCTTGTGTTGTTACACTACATCTAATGGTCATTAATCGACAGACACGTTATGGTAGGCTGGTTGAATGGTTTTTTCCAACCTCAATAGGCTCAACTATTGAAAGACAGACGGTCAAGGTTCCGAAACCGTTCCGAGTAGAAAATGAGATGGGGGAGTCGAGGTTGACATAATTTAAAGTTATCTACAGACCAAAAGATGAAACATATACAAGGGCATTGCAAAAGACAAGACAGAACTGCAACTCTAATTAAATAACTAAACTACTCAACATAGCCTAATAGCACACAATGAATTCACCGAATTCTATATTTAAGAACAGTACCTCGTGCTCAAGACATGCCTTGGTCATTATTATGCCTCTGCTAAAAACAGCTCAGCAAGTTCTCCCGCTCCAGATCTGTGCACGGTTAGCAGAAAAAGGATAAGAAATGATATCAATTAAAGAACAGGACCAATAGGACCATGTTGGGGCAGACAATTTATAAGAGGGTGGTTTAAAAATTAATGGCGCAGCTCCGTTTCTCAGATTTCTATCAAATTTCTAGCAAATCATACTATGAAAAGTTTGAAACTGTTCATGATATTATAAGGCATGTGAAAGTGACCGACACTTCTTCTTCCAACAGGTCAGCAAAATAAAAGCATGTTTTAAAGGGGCCACTGAGTGTAGGCTGAATTGTACTGGTGGGTCGAAATGACCCACTGGTGTGTAAGAGTGCAGTGTCCTGACCTTTTGTTATGCCTGCCAAAACAGTCACAGCATCGGACAACCAACTACTCCACCGCCAGGGAAGATGATATCATACTTCAAAGCATTTGACATGGGTTTGGTTGAATTTGGAAGCGGAGGAGGCTTAAAGAACAAGAGACTTAAAGACTTCTGTATGAACACTATGAACACTAGCTTTAGATCTACCACGATATGTCAAAACGGTAGGCTTTTGGAAGTTGAACTTGCTGTGAGCGATTTAAAATGCTCTGAAGGAACAAAATCATGAGGCAAATTGGCCCTCTTCACAATTTTCCTCATGTTGTACTGCAGACTCTGTTGGACTAATTGCTTCACAGCTTTTTTCTCCACGCTCATGGCTTCCTCAGATTCTTCCATACAGATTTGGGCGTCGTAATTATGATTTGAAGAAGATGAAGTCCCAATAATGGGAGCAGACACAGCTGCACCATGATTCCCACCAAAACTTTCAGAGATTTGCTTCCCTTTATCATATCTCAAGAACTCCAAAATTCTGGATGCCCTCTTTTGAGCCAATGCGCTACCCAAGAGCGTTAATTCAAGAGAAGCAAATACAAGGCCTGCTTCTACCATTGTCTGTCTTTCACCATATAGCTTGTGTGCCATCACCATTAGAACGTAGGACGCCTTTTCTTGGCAGCCAGGTGAATCTGTCCAGTTTAAAACATCAACTAGTATTGGGAATGCGCCTGGAACAATGCTTATTGCTCTTCTACCTTCTGGGGTTGATACCACGTTGCTTAAAATTGAAAGGTTCCTTTCACTTACTTCCATGTCTCCCAAGCTGTTGAGAAGAAATGGGATTAAATCTGTTTCTAACATGATTGGGACATTTGATGCTGCAATTGACAGATTGAAAAGCGCCCTGAGAACATCCTGCCGTGCCTGATTGCTAATGTTATGGTCCTCGTTTTGTAGAGATTTTACTAAGAATGGAATCGCGCCAGACGACCCAATTACGAGCTTGTTCGAGTCCAGGGCGCTCAAGCCGAGGAAGTTAGCAATTATTGCCTCCGTAACCGATGAGTTTGAAGCACTCTCTGGTTTAATGAGCTTCAACATTTTGTGAATGACTCCAACTTTCACAATAGCTGCCTTGTTCCTGCAATGTTCATCACTAACTCGATTCAGAAACTAAGGTTAAACATATGGATTGTGATTTATAACAGGAAGAAAGAATCAAGAAGGTGCAAGGCAATGTAAATCACTAACTCGATTCAGAAACTAAGGTTAAACATATTGATTGCAATTTATAACAGAAAGCAAGAATCAAGAAGGTTCAAGGGTATTTTGCCCATTTCTGATTTTGGAACAATCAGAGGAGAAAAATTTGCAGAGCAGTACATTGGTTTTTACCAAATAGATTGTCTGTATGATTAGCCATTTTGATTTTGAAACGAAAGCGAAAAGCGGAAGAAATCCAGTCCAGAAATCACAAATCAGAAAAGACATTGACAGAAACAGGAGGAATAGAGAGATATATGGAATGAGTAAATCAACGAAGGCATGCATGCAGGAAACAGAGAAATCAAAACCTAAAGATAAAGAACTCACGGATTGTTTCCGATTCCAAGGTTTAGCAACGCGTAAAGCGCAGCGATCTGAGATTGTTCATCTTCCAAATCAAGCATCGCAACAAGAGGCGGAATGGCACCGAGAAGCGCAAGCGTTCCTCGTATAACCAAATCCTCCTTCGCCATAAGCCTCACATTACTCGCCGCTGCTTTTCGCTTCCCCAAATCCTCAACCTGCAAATCCTTCACCGTGAGTTTCAACTCCTCCAAGTCTTCCTCCTTCTTCCTCTTCTCCACTTCACTCTCCATCTCCACCGACTCCACTAAATTCAAAAGATCCGCAAGCTTCTCCGATCTTCCA